ATTGTTATTAATTTGACTGTACAGTCCCACTGAAGTTGACTTTACTGCATAGACAGAAAAAAAAAATTGACAATCGTCCAAAGTCAATTTGGACATGAATGAAGAGCAAATGTGGTGGCAATAATTTACAACAATACACAATTTTAGCAAACATTGTTTTAATTCAGCACAATAAAAAAACATTTGCAGTAGAAATTTCTAGTTTAAACTTGTAATGGATTATAGATGATTAGTCAATCATCTATCAAGCATAATCAAGCAGAGAGGTGGGTTTTACATTCAGAGATACAGTGCTTCATGACACATAAGCCCAGATAAGGTGCTGTATTGGCTGAAGGACTCTTCACTCCGTCAGTGGTTGGTTCAGTTATGATGGTGGTCAGACAAGTCCGGATCATCTTCACAACATTTAGTTCCATCGAAAACCAAAAGTGTGTCAAAGTCAAATTTTGTTAGCCTTTATATGAACCTTTGAAGATTTCCACATTTTAATTTTCATTCACACAACCGTCCAAGCGTGGACATGGTTTGTGACACCTTTACAGTACAGGTTGTGACATCTCAAAAAGACGTGATGGGGTACTGGCAATAAATGTTAATGTTCAATAGTCCCATATAGATTCTATGTCTGCTGCCCTGTATGTCCAGGCAGAGTGTCAGGAGCAGAAAAGTGAAGGTTGCCCCAGGCTTCCATTATTGATACCTTGTACTGTGTTTTTTATTCTCTGACACAGTTCAAGTAATACATTCATTATTGACAAGTGAACATCCAAACATCCAATAGTGACTTTTTCAACATTTTAAGAATGGACAGGGATCGACTGAAAGGTCCATTAAAAAGTTGACCATCATGAAATATTTAATTCTGGTAACAGTAAAGAATACACATGGTTGTGTCCTGCAATGCTTTTAAAATGTGTAATTTGAAATGTACTTATTTTTGCACAGTTTATGTCAACACTATCTGAGCCATCATGAGTCTGTTACCTATCAAACCTCTTACCTCTGATTGTCTGTATAAAAGTCAGCGACAGTCACTGGGATGCACTCTCGTACAATATCCCTGCTGCCTAGCAACAGAGGAGCCCTCTTCTCTTTGCTGAAAGACAGGGGAGAGAGAGACAGAGAGAAAAGAGAACCAAGTCCTGTGTTATTATACCGATCTGTTTTGCACGAATGATTTTCAGTTGAGTTTTCATTTTATATGTCAGTGGCTCAATTTTAATTATCTACAGTAAGGTTGGTGTTGTAGAGAACAAGGGCAGGGAAAGGATCTCCAGACTGAGAGGTGACATTCATCACCACGGAGACCGACACAGTCCTGACAGATATCCAGCACCATGGACTGTGAGAGGGAGAGTCCTGCCAAAATTGTTTCTACTCTTGGTTCACACTGTCACCTCACAGCAAGAAGGTGGCTGACTTCAACCCCGGTTTGGCCTTGGGTCTTTCTGCATCAATCATTCAATCAATTTTTTTTGTATAGTCCCTATTCACATATCACAATTTGTCTCTTAGCTCAACAAGGTGCGAATTGGCCCCAGTTCCCCTGATGATCCTCAAAGGATAAAAGGTTTAGAAAATGGATTAATAGATGTTTGTACTTTCACAACTATATCCTGTACATTATGTTAATGTTGACTAAATGACCATATTGTCCCAAAGGTCCAGTGTGCAGGATTTAGGGGGATCCCTTAGCAGAAATGGAATAGCATTCATTATCATTCTATCATTTTCATTTGTGTATATCACCTGAAGAATCATTGTGTGTTCATAACCATAGAATGAGGCCTTCATATCTACATCAGGAGAAAGTCCACATCCATGGAGTCTGCCATGTTTCTGCAGTAGCCCAGAGCAATCAAATCAAAATTGGAAAGAGAAGATAGGGGCTTTTCTATTTTTAAGTGACCTCTTAATAACCTAGAGTACCTATAAGTGGCCTTCAGATCCCATAAATTCTCTTGCACGATTGAAAGGAGAGGCTTTGGGTTGCAGTTTGCACCCTCGCCACTAGATGCCACTAACTTCACACTGAACCTTTAAAACTAGAAGCTACATCTGTTTGGATTACACCCTACTGCCATGTCCTTGTGTTTCCTGCCCTCTTTCTTTCCCTTCCCTCTTGGGGGTTGTTTGTCCACATTTGGTCCAGGACTGAACTGCACTGCCCGATCATAGACTGTACACGGCCCCGATCAGCTCTACAATCTGAAGCAGATTATAAAACCAGGTCATCCCAACAGATCTTCAGATACCCTCAGTGGTAGACACTCTGGATGCTTTTCTTACTCCACACTTTGTTACTCCATATACCTCAGTTACTAACACCTGCTCTGTCCATGTGTTGGATCACCTGCCCCTCTGTAATACCTGCCACGCTCAGTTAGATCTCTTTGTCATGAAACCCGCCTACTCGACTACCTGCTTGACATGATCTCTAAACTAAATCTCCAGAACACTCACCTGTATCTGAAACTGGAACCTGACAATAGCACAGAAATAAAGTGTTGAAGTGTCGACCTCCAGCATGTGTTGACCAATCAGGTCAAGGTTGGATGATAAGCAGATAAAACACACGCACACACACACACACACACACACAGTTGCTTCACATTTTTGACACACAGAGGGGGAATCAGTAGGGCAGCTGCTGATAATGATCAATACACCCAGTGAGACACACACACACACACACACACACACACAAACAAACAAGCTGTCACCAACACACACTCTATTATATAGTTGTGTGTTGGTGACAGCTTGTTAGCAGCTGATTCCCCATCTTGATGGATCATTAGCCCCGAGCTGCACAACCGTTGAGGTAAGTGGATAGAGATGCTCTTCCCATTAGTACTGTAAGAATTTCAGCACATATCATCTTCACATTGACCAAAATATCTAAATAAAAATGGTCAAGGCATGACATCACTCAAGTGGCAGTTCATGACACCGAGGCTGACAAATAAAACATTGTAATTGTCTTCAACAACATTAAATGAGCAAATACAGACACTGGCTGTTGTACATTCATTGTGACTATGTTTACATGGACACCAATATTCTGATATTAGCTTGATTAACACTAAAGTCAGAATAAGACATGTAATTAAGACTTGTGTAGTATTCCAACCTTGTCTTTACCACAATATAATGTCCTATTGGAGTTTTCACAGCTTTTTATGATATTTTCATAGAGCAGCTACGGACTGCTTGATGATACATGCCCTGGGTGACAGAAAGATGGAAAAGGAAAAAGGAGTTGTGGCTTTTGCAAAATTAGAAAGAGAACACCCCAAATGGTAGCATCACACATTAAACTACTTCAGGTTGAGGTTTTAAATAACAACCAATATAATGGCCAAGTAGACATAATGACAGGAGTCATAATAGGCCTATGCTCTGTATATATATCATGTACAGTTCATGTTATTTATATTTTGTATAGTTTTTATCTTGTATTTTTACATATTGCTAAGTGGGTTATGTGTCTGATATCTTGCTGCTGTAACAGGAATTTTCCAGTTTCATCCATCCATCCATATGAATGTACTGAATGCATGTTGAAGGTTTAAGTCACTGTATGACCTATAGACCTGCTACAGGCCTGCTGCTGCTGTTATAGTAAATCTGAAAAACCTCTTTCACTGTGGTTAGCAGCATCATTATTCTAACCACACACAAACCAGCCCACCCTCTTCCTCTTCCTCCTCTCCTCTCCAAATGGCTTAATGTCTCCAAACCACTCTCCCAACTCCCTCTTGCCTCATTGTCACTTTCAATCTCTTCCTGTCTTGGCGAGTTCTTTTATTTCCTGACGTCGACCCCCTTTTCTGAAAGCAGAAATATTCAGTCAGCTCAAAGGAATATTGAGTCTTCTCCTCTGCTCCCATCCTGTAACCTCCGTAACCCATCTCCTCACCTCTGTGTTTGCACTACACCATTGTTAGCATCCCCTCTTTGCAGAGAAGAGATGGAGAGGCCATACCTGTGTTTGCCTCTCTCCTTTCCCAGTATCCTCTCCTCCTCACTCCCACCCAGGAAGGGTGATGGAAGAATGTATTGAAAGAGGGATGGTCTCTGTTTAATTTTTTGTTTGTCTGCACGGCAGCCTGATTCTGCTGTGTAGGGTCTCCTCTCCTACACTGATATTCTATTATCGTAATATTGATGCCTATTTGTTGTTTTTACTCTCAGACTAAATAAATGAGGATAATCCATGTTGGTATTGTTTCAGTAAAATTCAGACATACAACCGTTTTGCTCATACAATAGTATGAATATGTCATTTTGATTTATGATGTGTATTGAAAAAACTGACAAATTAAAGCAATGGCTACCTTTTGTAGCCACCAAAGTAATGTATCCTACACCCCTTTATTTAGTGACTGATATTTGTTAAGACGCATCTTTCCAAAAAATCTCTCATAGTTCAGTTTGGTTAAGATTTGGGGACTTTGATGACAGCTATGCTACATAGATCTAAACTGATAATTCCACCATGGGAATATACTGGCAGATTTTAGGTTGTGCAGATATCACTGGAACACTTTTTCTTCACTGTTCATGTCGAAATACCAAGAATCAGAGATGTCTTTCTTTATATTGGGTGTATTTATTCTTTGTTAATTAATGTTAAGTGAAAGAGGGGCAGATATTATAACAATGTTCTTTTTTTGAGTTTGCATCTAAATTGTTTTGTTTGGTCGAATGTAATAAACTTATAAATATTAAATACAATATTAATATTATATACAGTATATATATATGTATATATAAACTGCCATTTAGGAAATTATACACACACATACACATTAAAACATATTGAATGAACTGTTTGAAAATAACATCATGTGATGATGAATAATAATCTTTAATTGATTATAAAAAACGATAGCCTCCTTCTCTTTTAGTGCTGCCTGTCCTGCCCTCCCTCCTCGTCCATCAACACACCGACAACCATGAGATCAACCCCTATTCGGCTGAAGACACTGCCAGCCACGTCCTGCCTCTAAAACAAAAACACTGCCTTTTGAAAGCGTTTCTAACGCGCACATCTGGAGCACAGTCGCTGCTCTCTTTCTGCCTGTTCTTTCTTTTCCTACAGATTATTTTAAAATCCGTATTTCTATTCAACCCAGGAGGAGGTAAGATGTCTTCCCCTGCGCAGGAGAGGAGCTCCGCCGCTCAGCTGCTCAGCGCGGTGCTGCTGCTCGTCTCGCTCTCCGGTAAGGAACACAACACAAGTCCCACCGATCGATGCTCGGTTACATTGATACACGGATCAACAGTTGGATAAGACGAGATCCCTCACACACACACCACACACCGCATCCTCTGGGCCCTTCTCATTATCTCTGAGAGAGAGAGAGAGAGGGAGGATGTGAATGTGTGTCAGAGAAGGGGGGAGAGAGGAGGGGATCGGTTAATTGTTTCAACCCCCCCCCCAGCCCCCCCCCCAATTTGATCAGCCCATCTATAATAACAACACTTGTGTGACTTTGATTCAAAGCCCTTTTGCTAACGTGATTTGTGATCCGTAGTGTCACTGGACCTATTTTCCCTCCCATCTGCAGCACGCCTGTGTTTAGCCTCTGCTGACAGCTACATGAGTGGCCTGTTGTATCACAGCCTCTAAACAGGGTTATGATGCTCTATGTAAAAATAAATACTGCCCTATTAGTCCGTGCTCGGCAGGTCCAGTGTGGATCTGTGACTCAGTGTGGGTGATGTGTACAAACAGGCCTGTAATAAGGGGCTAACAGGGAGCTACTCATATTCACAGGCCTTGTCATAAACCCCAGCCCAGATGCAGGGTTCATATTTCACGTATAAAAAACAAGCTTCCACACTGTGTGACCCACATGTGATCGAACCCACAGCATCGCTCCACGAATTCAGAAGGATCAAATATGTCTCAACGTAAAGTCGGTGCTCCATCACTAGCTTGTGTAACACACTCTCTTCCTGCTGTAGTTGGAAAGTTAAATGCTACAGTAAAGTCAGCTATTTGAAAATAGTTTCAAACATGCACTGTAAAGTGTACAATCAGCTCCGCTCCCATACATGCACCTTATAAACTGTATCTCACTCCGGTTTTCAACTAATTTAATTGTGCGATCATCATTCTTATTTTTGCATTTTCAATATCACATATGTGCATACTGTTATGTTGTACATATTTCTATTTCTCATAGTTCCCAGAGTCTATATTGTGCTTTTGTACTTATTGAGAGTGTACTTCACTATTTACTTTTTGCTGCTATAAAACAGTAAATTTCCCAATAGTGGGACTAATAAAGGATTCTCTTATCTTATCGTACCTTATATCATGTTATCTTACCTTATCTTATCTTAACACTCAGCAAATATGAAATCTTTAATAACTGAAGTCATTACGTCCTCGTGTCTTCTGGGGTCTTGTTCCTCTTCACTGCGCCTCATGCCCAAGCTGTGGCGAGGTTATGAACCTGAGCAGGAAACATGGTGTCATGCAGAGTCATCATGCAGGGAGAGATCATTCAGTGGTTGAACCAATAGTTCATTAGTTTGAGAGAGAATGGTAGAGACAGAGGGGGGATCATTCCAAAATCTGAATTTTTATGTAATTGTTGTTTTTCATGCAATTTACACAAAAAGGAAATTGCTGAGGCGTGTTTTCAAAATCTAATTTTCATCCAATTCCATTGTAACTTCAAACCTATGCTGTGATACTGAATGTTGAGTGATTGAGACTGTGAAGAAATACTTTGCCCAGTTTGACACCATACAACCTAATGGAGTTAGAGAAAATGAAGTTTGTCTTTAAATTCAGTGCACCAGTGTTCGCCGAATATTTTTTAGGTGGCGTCACCAACCGTTGCATTTTCTCCCAGACCAAGTGAAAACAGATACTGTTGCTGGGGAGCCTGTTGCTTGGAGATGCCACTATCTTCAGTTCCCCTGTTTTGCCCCTATATAAACAGCATGTGGCCTTGTGTTTAAAAAAAAGCTCCACCTATATTATTATCTCTTCATGAGCTGCTTAAGTGTCCATATGTAAAAAAAATCTTACACACCAATGCACTTCACAAGCTTTCATCCCTGCAGCAATCAAAACCAAATCTTCTACATTCCCCCAAAACTTTTTTAACCTTGTTAATAAAAATGTTTATATCAATATACAGTATATGCACAGTATGCTATAGACTGTAGTAGGTGCTTATGCTTCATGCCTCAACAACAAATGTGCTGCCACAGCCGCACAAAAACAACTAGTTTATTAAGTCATTAAAAGTCACTGGGAAACATTATATTGACTCCTGTCCCATAAACACTTTCATTTAATCGAGCTGAGAAGCAGGTTTACAGGAGTTCAGTTATTGTTTCCATTTCGTCATTCAGAAGAACACCAGTTCTACGCTAGGTTAAAGGGTGTCCAGCAGTGTAGTAAACGTACAGACTGATTTCTAATGCAACATTCCTTCTGCCAATTGGTGTGTTGTGCTGTCTGCACACAGTTACAGTTACCACAGAGAGGCACTAGAGGGCAGCAGCACACAGAGGAGAAGACATGTACTGTAAATGCAGTGGCATGGACTTCAAACAGGTCAAAGTACGTTGCCTTATACCTTGCATTGTACAGAAGAACCAGACTACCACAGGTCAGTTAAAATGTTAGTGTAATTATAATTATGTCTTCTTTTTAAATATAAGGAAACTAAATTCAGAATTGCACCCACAGGATATCCATTATTAATAGTTGCAGACTGTGGCCAGCTCGCACATATTTTTGTAAATTGATCTGTTGCTGTCGGCGCTGTGGCTTAGTTGGTTAAAGCGCCTGTCTAGTAAACAGGAGATCCTGGGTTCAAATCCCAGCAGTGCCTTTTCTGTGACAGGAACTAGTTTTTTGATTGTGTCTCACAATATTATTTTCCATTTAGAAGACAAGATATTTATGTTGAGGTTTATATCGCAACCAAAGGCTGTATATACAGAGGGCTGAGATGACAGCTCCTCGAAAGTGAAGCCACGGCCTCTCGATAGCCGGCTCAAGTAAAAGTCATAAATGCTGCCTCCTCCATGTTGGTGGATGGAACATGGACCAAAGATAGTAGGTAGTTGTTATCACAATGATATAAGTGTAAGTTTTTGTTTAGTTTGGTATGAATTAGTTATTGGGAAAGCAATACTTTATCTCCCTATCCTGCTGTGCAGATTCTGGCTCCAAATCTAAAAAATGTCAGCCTTCCTATCTGGGATATTTTATATTTTATTTTAATTTCTGGAAAGTTGGAGAAGGTGGAGACATGATATCCATCTTTATAGTCTATGATCTATAGATAGTGTTTATCACAGCTATTATTATTGAATTACGTCATTACGTCAATCACAAGTGAAATTTTATCTCAAAAATATGGATCCAAGCCTAAAATTTGATGTCCATATTCATAGAGTAACATTCTTAAGACAGCCTCTCCAGACATAGATCAACTGGTATCACAAGGAATACTATATGCTAAGTACACAAACCTCAAAATCATTAATCACACACGATTCATACTACCTGACAATAAACCTTTCTTGCACACAACTAATCCAAAGTAATTTTTCTAATGTGTTGAAACCTTAACCAGTAGAGAAATCTGGCATATTACAGAAATCTAGGAGAGCAACTAATGTTTCCTTATTTTTTTGGATGTTAATAAAACCAGTGTTTTCCTTAAGATCAATTGAAACTTAACAGATTGACACCTCAGCGTTTACTCTACTGGTGAAGTTTAACACAACCATCATCCAAAACCAGAGGCCTTACTTTACCTTCATGTCCTTCTGTGTTTATTTGTGTCTGCCATAGACACCACTTAAAGCCTGTAAGCTCTTTTTGAATGCTTAAAATGCACTGTATCTTAAAGCAGTCAGACTTGAGACTCTATTATAGGTAGAGTACATCTGTCAATAATGCATGAGAGTGAGAGGCCGTAGGGGAGAGGAGGACAAGGAGCGGAAAGTACATTTCAACTCTTACTCAGTCTGATCAATATTTACCTTGTTTGGTATTTTCAATATTTATCAGATGAGATTTTAAAAGGAGTTTGAGCCTGTGCAGTTATTACGGCTGCAGTGAAATAAGGTCATGATACTGGGTGAGGCCTCCCGGTCTGTGCTACTGTGGCGTATGTAGTGGTTTTCACTTTACACTCACATTATAGCAACATAACACAATGTTACAGGCTCATTACTTAATCCCCTATCTCATTTGTGTCTCAATCATTTTTACCATCCTACATGATACCTGAAACTGCACCATGAATCTCTAACATCTCTTTTTGACAATCAACTCTTCCTCTGCAGACCCTGACCACTACATGCAACATTCCTAAGATACCCTCCACAACTGTAGATCAACTGCTACCACAAGATATACTGTATTCTAAGAAAAAAATTGTATTGCATCGAGATATTGTCCACCAAGTGCTGGCAGAGATCTGAGTACTGAAAAAGAAAAATGTATCAAGCAATTTGAGATCATATCTGGTGTCACAGTCTTAACTCCTCATGGTGCAATTATCATTAAACTAATATCGCCCTGGGGACATATATATAATTTGCAAGTGCTCATTATTAATGTGGGGTTATACTGTAGAGGCATGCACTGAAGGAGGTTAAGGTCAAAGTCGAGAGAAAAAAATAAGCTACAGCAGCCTCTGACTTTACCTAATCACAGACATAGAAGGATACTGTACAGTTTCATCAGTACCCTCCCTGTGGATAATTGTCTCTCAATTAACAATCCTGAAGTGTCAAACCAGTCATGAGCAGCATTTACGCCATCAAACCGCTGCATCCTGATCTACCTTAGAACCAGGGAAAAACATCTTCAGCACCACAAGCAAGTGCTCTTACTATTAGATATTGTACTGCTCAGTCAGTTTTAAAACATCCTCTAAATACTAAGCTGCATCCCTTTGTGGCCTTAATGCAGCTTTAAATCACTTTTAGAAGAGTCCGTCACAAGATTGCGTCTGTGCTTTTGCCGAGTCAGCCTTCAGGGGATTCTCACTCTCAGAAGCTCCAACCAAGCAAACCCACAGACGTCTAATTGGATTGGGACGTGTCAGTGGGGTAGCTAATACTGTGAAAATGTGGACAATCTAAGAATTGGGAAATGGCCTTCGTAGAAAGAGATCCCTATTAATAATGTGTTGTGATGTCTCTCCGACCATATGTGTCTGTCTCATTCTTGTGCAAAGAAGCATTTCAGGAACATGAATGAATTTCTTTGAATTGGCGCTAACATTAACTCGGACTCAAAGATGAACTGATCATCTTCTAGTGGTCAATGTTCAAGGTGACACTGACACCTCATTAAACATGTCATAAATTCATATGCTGACTAGAAGGGCATTCAAAGAGCGCATACCTCCAAACAGTGGCCAAACAGTCCCCTCATGAAACCACACTTACGTTCACCACATCAAAAAAAATTGCGAAAACATCCTGTCTCAAATTCCAAATTTAATGGAAGTTATTCCTTTACCGTATGCCATCCTTCCACTAAGTGTTGATATATGACATGTGGATGTAAAAAAGACTGATAACTAAGGGGCGGGAATTTAAGTTTAAATACAAGCTTCAACATTGTTTTGTTTTGTTTTTTCATTTCTGTTCTTGTCAAAATAGGTTCTCATTGAGGCAGGCAGAAAGGAATTCATCCTCTTCCATCCCCCTCCACCATTTCCAAAAAATGAAAACAGATTTTATTTTTTTGCAGTATACACTTCTGCTGTGAATCTGACTTGAAACGTAATGAAACGCAGACTGTGCAGAGTTAGAAAAGAGGAATGGAGGGAGCAGGAAATGATGATGTAACAGGCCTACCTACTTTTTACCTTTTTTTTCCTGCATTGACCTTGTGAGAGGAGGGAACAATGGAGGGAAATGTGATTTGTAGCGGAGGGGTCAGATCGAAGGGGTGCCATACGAAAGCTGCGTGAGAGGTGACCAGAGATGGGAGAGGAAAGAGGGAGGGACAGAGAGAGAGGAGTGGCATGAGGCTGCCTCACTGCAGTATTTCATCGGTTAGCACGTCGCTGTCCCCCCCGTCTCTGCATCTGGCTCTTTCTCATCATCCCCAGGACTGCTGAGTCATCAGAAACACCAGCCTGTATCACACCGTTTTTCACACTGTATATCTGGCTATGACTTGTAGTAACAAAACTGCACACATATGCTGTGTGTTCGTGTGCATGTGTGTGTGTGTGTGTGTGTATGGCAGAGACGTGGGTTGACTGTTGCAGTGTTAGCTGTGTGTGCAGGTAGGTCAGTTTGTATGGGTGACATTGACATAGCACCGCTAGCATGCAATACACACCTTGTGGGAGGATGTGCACGTGTGTGTGGTGCAGAGAGGCAGGCAGGCCTGTGGAGTGGTGCAGCAGCAGTGGGAAGGGAGCCAGAAACACCCGACTGCAGAGGAGAGAATGGTGCAGAGTCCCAACACACGCACACACACACACACACATACACACACACACACACACACAAGAGAGAGAGGTAACAAGAAAGGCAGATATTCTGTCTGGGGAGTGTGAGTCCATGCTGAGACATAAAATGCTCAGAGAAGAGGAGCAAAGTTGAAGAAACTGAACAATACTTTAATCTAATTTCAAGTTACAATATACATAGGTTTGTGCATTTGACTTTTGGAATCATTCCTAAAGGGGCTTCATGGAGCAGACTATGCACCATTCTCACAAGGTTTCCAGGTACTATTGTACATGTGGGATTTTGCCGATTTTGAGATATGTTCCAAATTCAAGGAATATGCGATGCTGCCAAACCTTTCCGATAAAGTGTCAGTAAATCATGGCGTCTGCTGTATTGTTCATCCAAAGTATTTCATATATGGCCTTTGACACGATTTGACATGATTGCAAACACAAATTCAAGGTAACTGAAATAGAGCTTAAAAGTAGGGTTGGTAAGTTGTTTCTCAAAAACTGTTATCTCATTAACTGAATGAAATGATTGGCTAGCATACCTGTCTGTCGAATCCCAGTTGAAATTGGGCAACAGGCGTGATTCACCCTAGAGAGGTGACCAGGCCACATAAAGGGACAAACAACCATCCAGACTTTGGAGTGTAGGAGGAATAGGGAGTACCAGGAGAAATCCCACGCAGGAGAACATGCAAACTCCAAACAGAAAAGCTCTGGCCTAACTGGGTTTCAAACCAAGAACCTTCGTGCTAACCACTGTACCACCACCTGGCAAGCATTTAACATCAAATGTGTTTTAATCCGCTTGTTTTACCGCTCATATATTTCACTGTTGTTGGTACTGGTGTTATTACCGTTGTTGTTTGTCTTCATAGGTTGTTCAAGCATGGATGTGGTCGTGCCCAGTTACATAAATGCACTGAATGGATCAACTGTCAAAATCCCGTGCACGTTTACATCCTGCTACAAGATGGATGTAAACTCCTTTATCATGAACTGGACCTACCAAGAAACACTCAACGACACAGAGGAAATGGTAAAGAGGCTTGTATTTACATGTTTAATAAGCAGTATATTTCAGGCACCTATGTCCTAAATCGCTTAGCCAATTAAAAACTCTCTGTCTCTTTCTCCGTCCATAGTTTATGACTTTCTATAGGAGGAAAGGAATGGTGGCTCTGAGGTCAGACCGGTTTGGAGAGAGGGTGATGTTTGCTGGGAACCTGGATAAGAACGATCTGTCCATTACACTGTCAGATATCCAGGTGGAGGATGTGGGGATTTACAACTGCTATGTGAGGAATCCCCCAGACCGCATCCCGGGACATGGTGCCATACAACTTAATGTTGTCACTGAACGTAAGATACTGACCCTACCGTCTCTATCCATTTATTATCGCTTCCATCTATCCTATAAGGGTCAAGCAGTGTGGTTGGAGCCAATCCCAGCTGACATTGGGCGAGAGGTGGGGTACACTCTGGACAGGTCACCGGTGTATCACAGAACTATGGAAAATGTTCAGAGCCAATCTTCCTGAGATTTTCCAGTTTGTCTTTTGACATATGAACTAATCAGGAAAGGGTCCACATCAGACGCATTGACAGGAAAGTTTCCTGAACATTCAGGCGAGAGGTGGCTCCTGCGATGAACATGCAGGAGGCAGGACATAATGTGTAAATTCTCCAGTGTTTTTGTGTACAGCACATTGACACTGCCAGCCCTTATGACCAGAAGATCTCTCTGTCTTTCCAAAGTGCCATCTTTGTCTGTGTTGTCCTTAGATATTTGTAGTCTTCAAGTTTAATGTCCATCATGTGTTAAATGCGTCATTCAGCCCATTTTGCTCAGGAACTGGCAGGAAAGGTTCCGAAAATGTTCAGAGAAAGTGACTCGCACTTACAGCCTGTCCAGATAAATTTAGATAAATGTCTGGAGTTCTGTTCATGTCTGAAAACAGCGATATAGAACAAACATTTACACCATGGCCAAGTTGGAGTTTCCAATCAACTTATCAATCCACAACCCCAATCAGTCTTTGGACTGTGGGAGGAAGTCAAAGAAATTCAACTAAGACATGGGGAGAACATGCAAACTCTAAAAAAAAACTAAACCCAACCCCCTTCTGTTATTTTCTATAAATACTAAACATTCCCTTGGAAATGCACTCTCAGGGCTACCACACGCTACTCAGCACTAAACCAAAACCTGGATGTACATTTTTTAGGGAGAGTGCCACTGTACCCAAAATGGAGACAGGGCTTGTAGTTCAGGGAATCAAATGAGAAGGCTTAGAGTTTCTGTTTAAAGGGTTGTAGACACAAAGAAACTTTGGGATCAAAAATCCGGCCAGCAGAAAGGTTAGCAAAACTCTGCATTGTGGACAGAAAATACAAGGGAACAAGACAGGAGCAGAACAGGAAAGGGAAAGTGATAAAGAAGACTGGGGAGCACTAAAGTCACAATGGGAGGCAGGGATACTCGAGCACATATTAACACAAGCGAAAGACACGTAAGGTAACAACTACAAGGAAGAAATATGTCCAACGTCTACACAGCCAATAACAAGTCCAAAACAGACAGGTCCAAAAAATAATTCCAGAATACTTTGCAGTGAACATCTACCTGTGTTTTGGAGTGTATCGATAAGTCATCATATAACCTTGTGTGTGACTGTGTGTGTGTTTCCTGAAGTGTAAGGACCTACTGCTGACTCAGCTCTTTACTTATTGATGACCATCAAGAGGTTGAACTCAGTCCCTCAGCATCTCGATCGAACTCACACGCATGCTAGCACTTACACTGGACACAGGCTAACTCAGCACTTACTTTCTTTCCACTCTGTTTAATCAGCCCAGCAGAGCTTTTATCCAGCACTGCACTCGTCTTTTTCCATTTTCTACAACCCTCTCCTCTCCTCTCCACAGTTCCCCCACCAAGGGACTCCACCATTGCAGTAGCTATCGGGGCATCGGTGGGCGGCGCTTTGGCTCTGCTGATCCTCTCCATGGTTGTGTTGAAATGCCTCCGTCGACACCAGAAACAGGAACTGATTTCGGAGGAGAAGATGGAGGAGGAGGGTAAATTGGAGGCGGAGGGTGTTGCAGAGGAGGGAACCAAGTAAGAAATTTCCCCTTGACATCCTTAATCATTGTCAAAAACTTCAATCAAGACCAAGATCTAGAGTCGCGACTGATATACCACTTTTATTTAAGTGGCATGCATCAATTATTAACAATAAAACCATTAGGATTCAACTGCTATTGAAAGTGTGAAGAATACACAGAGGCAGTGGAAAGGTCTGTCTATTCCAGGAACGACTACAGCTCTTAAACTCCTTGATAACAATATTGCTGCCAGTGCTGACTTGTGTGTAAACAGGCCACACATCCAGTAACTTCTCACTAGGGACTTTCCTATCATCGAGCCAATTGTTTGTGATTTTGTCCAAATAACGTCACAACTGGAAAAATGGTTTTGTCCCACACTGTAACCAAGTTTGGTCAAAACAAGTTGTATAACAGCAGGTCATTTAGAGGTCGAGCTACAATATAAGCAGTAAGTAGAACTGTTCCACTTCATCTGGATCCAAATCTCGATGTCTTGCCTCTTGAGAAATTACAAAACTGTCGAATAGTACGTCGATGAAAATAACAATAATCACATAGTCAACAAAATATTTCCTCCTCCACAAAAGAGTCAATTTCCTGCAAGTCCATGAGGTCAATTCTTCAGAATAATCACAATCTCTTCCAAAATACTGATACTTAGATAATGTTGTGCTGATTATGTTTTTATTTGTTATTTCCTATAAAGCTGTAATAAATTATAACTTAACAAGATGCTTGACAGTCCTCATTTTAATGCCGGTAACAGTATCGTTGTCTGATATTCCCCCTCCAACATGACATGTGGCCTTAAATAATAACTTAATTATCGATTTTGTTCCCCTTTAAGTCACTCTCCTACAACCTTATTGATAGAAAGCTAACCTGTTGTCGTATTGTTGGCACCTCTTCTTGAATATTTACAGACAACCATAGCTGGGTCACCTGATTGAACCCGCAGACTGTGGCGCCCTCATCCCCAACACCCCCAATGGTAAATACAAATCCATGTTGACCATTCGAAAACTGACCAAACTACTAAAATACTATCAATATCAAAGTTTCAGCCAAATTCAAACAGACAGACAGGCCATTTCTGTATTTGCACATTGCAAATGGAACCAGAACCTGGACGAATTAATCACTAGACTGAAATGGAAATCCTCTCTCTGAAAAAAAGAACTATGGATGCGCCGTGTCCTCAAAAGTGGTAAAAATAAGTGTTACCCTGAATGTGTGTGCAGAAGCTGATGTTTTTCTATATCTTGTGCCCCAGATCTTTCTACCTGCTGGTTTTATCTAGAGGGAGGTTTATTTATTGCTGAATCTACCAAGAACTTTCCCAACAAACTTTGTTTCACCATTCTCTTTCTCTTTTCTTTCAGTCCATCATCCTGAAGATCTATAGTAACCACTGCTTGAGTCATTGTCCACTGATGCTTCCACACCCTCTGCAGGGCACCAGACTAACTTATCTCTGCCTAACTTTTTCATTTAAGTGCATCGGAACCTCATTTAGATGCACCCAAAATGCATCACTGTGCCCCTTGGCACCGCAATAATACACCTATTATACTGTTTCTTGACAGTTCCCATATACATTGGTAATTTCTTAACTAGGGCTGTGATTCGATTTGATTTGTTCAAATATGGATTCAGTTCAGGATATTTCGTTGTACAATACCAATTTTGCCTAGATATGAAATAAATTCTCAGAGAAGTAAAGCTGTAAACTGAACAAGGAAACCTCTAACTTGCTGCATTATTGAAAATATTAAGGTTGGCCTGTCACAATAACAAATTTTGTTGCATGATATTTCTGTCCCAGACATTATTAATATAAATGACATTATTGCCATCGTTTTTAAACCATTTTAAACCACTTGTATAATGATAATATTGTGGCGCAATCATGAGTACTCCCTGTGAAAGAGCAATGAACTTAATTCTAAAGAATATTAAGTCTGATATATAAAAATATTTTAATATTCAAATAAATAAAGAAGAAACCACAGTTAACCAAAACAATAAATTAAATGAACTCTGGCTCTCTTAACAAAAATTGATCTTTAAAAAATATTAAACATTTGGCTAAGGATATATGTTACCTGCTCAGCAAACAGGAAGGGATGGTTTTAATTTAGATGAGCTTTTAAGTTTCTCTTGGGTTAGGTTAGTATTCCCGTGTTTCACCTAGGATTTTGTTTATATGTTTGTGTGTGTGTGTGTGTGTGTGTGTGTGTGTGTGTGTGTGTGTGTGTGTGTGTTTTCAGGTGTTTGTTTTTTTTTTTTTTTTTATGATGTAGAATCATGAATCTGGATCGTTCTGGTCACTTTAACCCTGATGTCCTGACTGTTTACACCACATCTCGTGTTGTGTATCTAAATTTTTTTTTTTTTTTCCATGTGTTTAAATACGTGTCTCATAAACTCTCAAGCAAATCAAACACACACAAAGTAAACATCAGTGCTGTTCAGATCAAAGTGTAAAGTGATCACAGGTCAGTGGGAGTGTGAAGGGATCATATTCAGGTAGAGACTCTGACACGGTACAAACCAAACGCTGCTTCTGCTCTGATCCGGAATCAGCGGTACTGATCAATTTGTATTACTGGTCGGTCGCCCCTGTTTGACATGTACTGCTTCAACGTCAACGCCTTTTCTCCCTCATCTCTGCTTCACTGTCTGTGTCTCAGTGTGTGAGTGAGCGGGGGCAGGGCCGGCCCGGGGCCTGTGAGTGTAAACTCTGCAGCGGAGATGAGACAAGATGAGGAAGAGACACAACTCGATCAAATACAGAGACACAGCAGCTAAATGCCAGCAGTGTGACCACGGAAAATCTTTAATCGCACTTCACAGATTTTTGGTCGCACTCTGGAGGCCTGCTCTGCATGTGTGTGTGTGTGTGTATATGTGAGAGAGAGAGAGAGAGCGTAATTCTGCATGTCTGGGATGTGTTTCCTTGAAAAAGCCAGGAAACACTTATTTTAACATAACCATTAAACATATTACTTTATTCATAGCTACGTAAGTATTTTATGGCACACTATACGACAGGATGGGGCTGGGTGGTGTGACCTAAGCATAACCATATTTTGAATATGGAGTGGTGTTAATATCACAACATACTGTACAACTTTACTCGCGTGATTTAATAGGATGTTATTTTAAATTCAGTCGAGGGCTTTGGGACAAAAACAATTGATTTCCTGAAGTCTATTATTAATTAACTGTTAATAAACCCAATAGTGGTTGAGCATCGAGTATGTGATGGATGTTAAAAGTCTCTCGCTCAGCCAAGCAGTTGTGTGTGTGTGTGTGTGTGTGTATCTGTTGTGTGATGGAAAATTGTGCAGTTCGCTCCACTGTCTCACAGCAATTTGGGGATTTTGTTTTGGGTGAATTATTCATTGCCTTAAAGCCATGCCTCTCAACTGTGAGTCTGGATACCAGGTTTTAACATAGATAACAGAAATAGTGCATGTGTGCATGTGCTATGCCCTTCCACAGCTGAACTTTGCTAAATGATGTCTATATGTCTCGATGGTGTCAGCTTGTGTCTGAGCCAGAGAGAATTCTCAAACATTCCTGAAACATGAGGTTTTTCTAGCAAAAAAAACAGTCGCCCTGCATAGAGACCGGTCATAATAGAAACAGCACAGTTCCTCTTCATCACATTAACGCTGGCTCTGTTATAGTCAAGTGTCCCAGTAAATCATGACACATGACCCTCTCTGCCAACTTACTTAACTTAACAGTGCAGATTTTGGTCAAAATTGGAAACAATGTCCCAGATTACCTGAATTCCCGCTACAATCAAATAGTCAGAACTTGAATTAAGAAAATAATTTTGTTTCTTACTTTTCAAGTGAATGAGATGAGCTATGGAATAGCTAGAGTGTATAAGCTAAATGAACATAGGAGTGATTTCCACCATGCTCAACACCAAGACCCTCAACCTGAACCTAAATATAATCCAGTCATGACCCGTTTTTATATTTCCCTACACCTGTGCTTTTTCTAATGTGACTTGTCACAAATGTCTGCTGTGGAAAAAGGCAGGTGGAGCAGCATGTTTCTCATGGTTCTGCCGTGGCCTAATATGTTCTTATTTACTTTTGTTTAAATGAAAAGTGTTTTTTATTGTGTAAGAGTGGTATTCTTACTCTCAGTGACACCAATGAACAACCGCACTGGTGAACATGTGACTTACAATTTAAATGTAATTCTATACAAACAGAAACAGCATGCCCTAACCGATTTTACAGGTTATACCATCCACCCCTATATGGGCACTGGTCCATCCTGCCTGCAGCCTTGTATTAGGGTATTTAAGGATTCAACAATTACAGTGTTTGTGACTTTAATATTTCACAATAAATTGTACAACAATTTGCAAGTTTTTTAGAAAACAGTGATAGTGCTGTTCTCCCCTGCCTGAATTATTAATAATAATTAATTTCCCCCAAAATGAAGCAAGCACTGGAGGAGAAGTTGGAGATAAAGCGATGTGAATTGTTTTGACGACATTTGGTTAAAAAAACGAACAATTTAAAGTAAAAATTTTAAAAAAAACTCCCATGACATCGCATGCACCCACAATCACATAAATCATGTTAGTGTCAACCATTATTTACATTTATGGTAGATCTGAATAAAGGTTGCATTATATATATATTATACACATACATGACCCATGTTACACACAGATAGGAGCTGAGTGCCACTACAGGCAGTAATTTAGGAATTAATTCCAAATGTTCCTAAAATATAAGATGTATATGTTGATGACTGACAAAGTTACGTTCGGTTTATGTCTTACTGCATTGGCAGAAATAGTTATTTTGACATATGAAGCATGTACAATATATTGCCATGACTGCATGTCAAACAGTGCATACTAAAAAGAAAAGCAATTTGGTCTGACGAACGAAAGAGACTTCATTCTGTTCTGTGTATTTTCCCAGATAAACCACAGTAAAGTCAATTAGAGCGTCTCTTTTCTCAATATATATATATATATATATTGTATTTGTCATTTAATTGACAAAGGGTTTTGGTTGCACAAGATTCAACCACCTCCTGCTAAATATCAATAAACAACTAAATCCTAAAATATGTCAAAATAAATCAAATACGCTCAAATCATGAAAAAAAAATACGACGAGAGAATAAAATCAAAATCTTTTTCCTCTAATTCCAAATGAATTCCTGCTGGAACCTTTTAACAGAGACTTTGAGCACGTTTTACACTCCATAGCCATTGCACTTCAATCCAATGCACTATTGTCTAAATATAAATATTGTGTCTAAATATATAATATAATAAATTACCTATTTAAAAAATATATAAAAGTTAAAAAACTTATATTGTAGCTCTGCATCCAAAGTAATGCCTTGACCTCAAAAGTAGTTTATGAAACTGTATTTTGCTATTGTCACATTGTTTTGCACATCAACACATTGACACCTATTATAATCATAATGGAGAGCATGTGAATATTATAGAAATGATAACCTTATCGAGATGGTAAACTGGAATGTGTGGCTTTGGTAACAGATGTATGGCATGGGGGATTGTATGGTTAAACTGGAAACTGTCGGTAGTGTAATTAATTGATCATTTATTCTGTTGGAGCACTTTGAATGTTAAAAAAAGATACATATTCTCTTAAAAAATACTTTTTAATGTCAATATTACATGTTGGAGCATGTTAATCTCTGAATGTCTTATGATGTTTGAAGTGTAACAGGCCAGCTGTGTCACAAACTGATGTGCTTTATGTAACGTCTCATGCTGGCCCACCGTGCACCCAGCACTGTCGGAGTGTGGTTAGTGCCTCCGAATAGGCGAACGGTAAAATATCGGTTTTGTTAGAATAAACTGTGCACAGGTCTGTGTTTATAGGCCTGTTACCTAATTAGGGTCTTGTTATGTTTTTTAGTCATGTATGATTTTAAACTGTAGGTTTTTTTCTTCCAAAAAGTACAAGTGATGTATTGTGTGATTTCCTGATACGAAAATCTGTGTTTATGGACATTTATAAAATAGTTGAGGAAATCCTCGTAAGTGCAGAGCTGTATGGTTTGGAAGGGCCCGAATTCTGTCGCGTTTCCTGGGACGCTGCTGTCTGTGTGTGTCCGTGCATGTTTGAGTTGCAGGGTTTGTGTGACTACACCCACAAGGTGAGGACGCGTTAACATTTGGGGCAAATTTGAAGCAGTGTTTTGCTGGCAATATATGTCGTCATATACATAACTGTAAATAGTATCTACTCTATTTATCAAACAGAAACAACAAATATCATGTACTAGACAGATGTTTCATTGTATATTAGCCACCTCTGATTGTGAGTTTGCCCTGATTAGTTGCTTTAAACGTTTAAATGTTAGTAGACACCAAACTAATGCTTGCACTGTGTTGCCTCTAAAAAGCACCTGTCATAACATCAGATATTTTAAATAAAGATGATTCAGAAAATATCACTTTTTTCTTGTAGTTCCTGCTTTTTAAATGTTCTGCTACCATCCATTTTCTATTCCTGCTTATCCTGTTCAAGTGGCCACGGGCTGGAGCCTATCCACAGCTCAGACACAGAGCACACTACTGTACAATCTGTCTATCACCAGATGACAACCCCTGTTCAAGCAGTTAACTGTTGTCTTTGCACTGCAGAAGGAAACTGACGAGTGAGATCACAAAGGAAGGTCCCGGAGTTGCCAAGCAGGGGCCCAGTCATGCAGGGTGTGGACTGGAACCCTTATTTCTGTGAGGTGACACTAACAACTACACCATTGTGCCACTATACCTTCCAATAATGCAGGCATTAATGGAATGTATCTTTCGCTGGTGTGTGGCACACAAAATAATACGATATGCTACATAAGAAGACACGATGCATTACTCGGAATA